ACAATTTTTTTTATTTAGTGTTCTGTCTGACGACATGTCCATATGAACAGGATCCTTCCATCCTTTTCTCGGACTGGGACCTGTTCATATACGTTCTTGGCAGATGATCCAGAAGTGGTTTGCCATTGCCTTCTTCTGTGTGTGAATGCCACGGAGAAACCGGGGAAGCCCCCGGAGGAAAACTCCGTGTTGCCTAGGCCACGGCCTTGCCCAACACAAGTTATAAATTCGGGCACCGCCGGGAATCGAACCCGAGACCCCAGGATTACAAGGCCAGCGTTCTAACCGCTAGACCACCGTGGCAAACGTCGGTTTACTACGATAACCAGTTAAAGCGGCTGATCGCCCGAAAAGATCTTTTATCGATTGTACTCGCCGCGAAAGTCTCGAATCCTGTACTCACCGCTGTGAAAAGCTGAAATCTTACAATTGTTAATGTTATTATTTTCAGGTCTTAGTGGGTCCAAAGTTGACGTAGAACATAGAAGAGACACCTTTGGCTCGAACACCATACCTCCAAAGCCACCTAAGACGTTCCTACAACTTGTCTGGGAGGCTCTACAAGATGTGACACTCATTATTTTAGAAGTTGCTGCTATTATATCTTTGGCGTTAGCTTTTTATCCCCATGATGATTCAGCAGGTAAGAACTTTGTCACCAGTGGCAACAAATGTATTGTTTACAGTGTAATAATTTGTTTTGTAATATATTATTGCTTGTCCTGAATTCTGAGAATGTACTCGAGCCAGTGAAAATTATCGTATGCATGAGTATTCCAAAGTACTGATATATTACAGTGATGATGATATAGGTTATTAACTTGATGACTTGTGAGATAATTTTTGCTGTAGTATTGTCAACTAAAGCGGCCCATCCACGTACGAGCCCGGCTCGGCTCGGCTTGGGTTCCATCGAGCCAAACTCGTTTCTGGGTGGGGTGCCACGAGCCGAGTCTGCTATATCCGAGCCCGGCACACGAGTCAGACTCGTACGTGGATGGGCAGCTTAAGAACGTAAAATGGCCATTTAAATGCCGACATAAGCGGTTAAGAACATTTTGAATTGGCATTGTTACAGAAAAAGTTACTGATAAGATAATATGTTACTTCACATGTCGTCGTATTTACAAGGCAGTGTTTTACAGAGTAAATGTTATAAATAGGGTTGCCTGTTTACGATGTAGGATGGCCAGTTGCATGTATGCGTAACATATCCGCGTTATTTTATATGACCATAAAGCTATACTTTGTGAAATTTGGTTTAATATATGTTACTCTGTTACTAAAATACTTTTAATTCCTCCAGAGTTCTGATGAAGACAAATGTTTCATAGCTGAGTATTTTTATTAATTTTTGAGCTTCAGTTACATGTTACAGTGAACATTCCGCATTGCGATGATGTTAATTTTCTTCACATCAGAATTCCTCATTTGATACAGTACTGTAGACTTCGTTCGTTACCGCTGAAGTCACAATAAGTTTAGTTTTATGTCGGGTACAGACATGGTTTTAGGGAACTCACGTATTTCTCTCATTTATTACCAGCATTGTCTGTATTTGATTAAATGTCTTTAAAAGGCAAACACACGCTTGCATGTCGTATTTGGTTTGAGACGTGTAAGGCACAACATTGAAATTATTTGAAAATTGAGTGTGAAGGATTTGTTATAATTTAAGAATGAGATAATAATGTGAACAGTAGAGAGAGTTTTGTATCTAGTCTTGTGATATTGTTGAGATCATTACAGAGTTGCTCAAGAACTGTTCATTTCTTAAGGAATTTACAACAGGTGAAGAAAGTTGTCGCTGTAGATGTTACGTATGGTCTTGCAGTTCAGATACTCGTCCCATTGACACAGGAGCTCTCCAGTTACGTCTCCCATCACTTCGTCAGCGTCTCCGAACTTGGTGGATACCAAATAATTATTAGGTGGCCCAGTCAGATAATAACCATGAGAATGTTGCAATAGTCTGGTAAAAATTGATGATGGTGATGATGGAGTTGGTTAACACCTTTGAAATTTCATTTAATTTCTAAGAGACCGCGTGGTATAAAATCCCACAAGACAGTAATCTTCATTCACATTAATGTGAGAACCTGAAATCTCACATGATAAATCTGCCCTGTCATGTTTTTGACAGCGTACCATTGGTCACATCTTCTTTTTCTTCTATGGCTCTCCGGTTCGTATTCGGTCCATGGCCTCCTCAATTCTCCTCTTCCATTCAATCTTCTGTTAGGTCCATCTGTCCAAGGCTTTGATTGAGGTTTCGAAACATCTTCCTTTTATGGTGCAAGGTTGTTAGTCTTGCGACCAAACCCCGACCTGGAGGACCAGGGTACCTGTCTTAGTCTGACCTCTCCCCCTCAACCAATCTGGCTAGGGAGGCCCTACTAGTATCTCTTGGGGTCACTGAGGTACTCAAGCCCCACCACCACGACAAGGTGCAGGTACCATTAGGTGGGGACCATTGGTCACATCGGCTGACTGAAAACGAGCGTCGTTCGGCAGTAATGTCTTCTGGCATTCCTCTGAACAGTGGCATAACAGGGCACTGATTTTGGCTTAAGGTTCAGGAATCATTGTGATATCAGCATTGGATTACTACAAAAACCGCAGTGATTTACATATGAAACCACTTGCATGTTTGTGTATGTCAATATTTGTTCAAAACGCATCGCTCTGATGTAAATTTGTTGCCGTGTGAGTGAAAACTAAATTTCCAAAGTTATTTTCTTTCTGGTGAGCAGTGTCATCCATATTTTATCAGATTTAGGAAGCTGACGCTTTCTTGACAAATATAGTACTGTGTGGTGTAACTTTTTAATTCTATTTGTAATGTTAATTAAAATGCATATGCATGAGGCTTTTATTAGAGTTTGCGAGGTAAACATTTATCTGACGCTTCTCAAGTTCAAAGTGGGCTAAAACAAGGGGATGTTTTATTACCATTGCTTTTTAATTTTTGTTTACGCGATGCCATCAGGAAAACCCGTGAGAGTTGAGAGATTGAGAATGACTAAATTATTTATTTGTATATTGTGATATAGTAATATTAATTTATTAGTAAAATTAATTGATGGGATAGAATATAAATACAATGAAATACCACTCAAATTTGCTATAGCGCAATACATAATTTGCCCAGTAGTGTAAATCAATAAAAGTTTGACATTTTAATCTGAGCCGTGAAAGAATCATTAAATAACCGTAAGTAAGTATGTCAGTGTGACACAAAATCAAGAACAAATTTATTATAATGTTTTAAATTTGAGTGTCTGAGAATAATAGTATAATAGAAATGAAGTTTACATTTATATTAGGAAAATAATAAATTACAGAAATGATTGTTATTTTTAGTTCAGAAATTATCCTTCCAGTTACTTTCTAAAAGATTAAAGATTTAGATGTACGAAATAGTAATTTTGCCATTTGTTTTCTCTGGTTTTGGTTGATTGTATATATTGATGGAAGAGTAAAGTTACGGATGTTTAAAAATTAAGTTTCGTGAACATATTCGTTTTCAAAGAGGTTGAAGTTAGTGTGGAATTCATTTAGAATTTGCATAACGGGAACCTGTGTTTAATACACGATAGCCTATCTAGTAGTGTTAGTGTGATGGGCTGGACATGTGGCTAGGATGGGCACGACAGATCATGTATACAGGATGGTAGTTTGAGAAACTGATAACATCACGTAGAAGACTGGAAAGGAGATTGTAAGATAGCATTAAGATGGATCTTCAAGAGAGAGGTTGTGAGAATGAGAGGTAGTTAGAATTATCTTAGGATTACGTCCAGTGGTATGCGTCGTTATTAGCAGCGACGAAGCTTTGGCTGTGCTGTCACAGAGTTAAGTAGGTGGACGCTGCAAATGCGGCAAAATAATAATTACTGTTTAAATGTTTTATCTTTTAATGATGGACATAACATGTTCTTTTATTTGTGTTTATAAGTTTTTACCATTGAAGATGTTTTGTCACACAGTTATATAAGATGCCTCTATGTGCGACCAGACCAATGTCGACCAAAACATGTAGTGGTAAAAACAAGACAAAATAATAAAGCTGTGTAGACAGATATTTGCTGTTTAATAATATTACATTTCATTTAATGCTGTGTCTTCTGCAAAAAGAAGAGTTTATTGTAATTGTAAGGTCTTGTTTTGTTTGATATTACAATAATTGAAGTTTATCGGAAACTGAAATTACGTTGAAGATTTCTGTCTTCTGCGTTGTTGCGCTGTGTAGTCTGGTCGATGCGATCGCCCTGATGACGGAGGCAGTATGACCTCTGAAACGTTGGTAACCATCGACCATACTACGGCGCAACAACCCAGAAGACAGAAATCTTCATACTCACCGCTGCGAAAACCTCAAATCTTACATGAAGTTGTTCTTATTGAGTGATTCTTTGTTCTTGGTCTTAACATTCGGACTTCACAGAAAAAGGTAATTTGACTTTCATTTACTCTGTACAAGTTGTTTTTAGTGTGTGTGTTAATGTGGGTGTTGTTATCTTAATTGCACTGAACCAAGAATGTAACATTGTTTAAGCTATAAAACAGAAGTATTTTACAGGTATTTGGTGAATGTAGTTTTCTCTAAAGGAATCAGAATATGCAGTTTCAAATTATGTCGTCGCCATCCTGTGGCATGTTACAGTTTCTCACCATCTCTTCGTTCATGTTTCCAAACATTAATATATCCATCATTTACAGTGAATATAATGGATATTTTCTGCTTGTTAATGTAACTGATGTTTAAATTTCAGCCATTTTTAAAATTTGTATATTATTTGTTCTGTAGATCAGAGAAGGCAAGTACTGTTCAGTATATGGACAAATTTTGAAAGGAATCGGTTATGTTTTTAGTCTAAAATGTACAAGACCAAACTTTTAGATTAGTGAGAATGGAAAGTGAATGAAAGTTTCATAACACTGGGGCATTTGATGGTTTTTTTTAAAAAAAAATATGCAATGTGTTGTGAAGGAGACAGAATTTTTTTATGTTCAATTGTTGCGTAAGGTTCTTTGACATTGCTGGAGGTTAGACTTAATGGTTTTCTTGAGAATTCACTAATGATGAGTACTGAAATAATACGGGTATATAAAATTGTGTTATTCAGTGTTATTCCACCAATATGGTACCATGGACCCTCCCCTAAATTGTCATACATTTTTATTAAATAGAATACAGACTCGGGGTCCGCAGTGGCTGCGCAGTCTGAGGCGTGGGCCTTGTGCTGCTTGCTCGCGGGTCAAATCCCACTCAAACCATGGATGTTTTTCTGTATTGTGTTGTCCTGTGTATAGGTACAGGCCTTGCGACGGACCGATCCCCCGTCCAAGGAGTCCTACCGAATGTCCACAGATCAAGCGAACTAAAAAAAAAAAATTTGGGACCCGTAAAAGGGTACCGGAAAATGTATAAACATTGTTAAACCGGAAATAGAAGAAGAATACAGACTCATTAAAACATAATAATATGATAGTCTTGTTCTGGCTTGTGACACTATGTAGACTCATAGGTAGATACCAGTTTTGGAGATACTTAAAACTGGAAAAATTGCGCACCTTGGAATTTGTCGCATGTGATACGAGTGAACTCTCGAATATTCCATTTATATGGCCAAATGTTGAAATGTAATGAGAACAGTAAATTATGAACAGATTTATTGCAAATGGCCGTACTTTTATTTCTTTCAAACTTTGAAGCTGTTGAGTTTGTTGTAAGATTATCAATTTGAATTTACAAAGAACTTTCTTATTGCTACAACAGTCTCAGGTTTATAATATTGGTTTGTTTTATTGAAGATTCCAAGTCTGGTGAATTAAAGATTTTTTCTTTCTTTTTTATGCAGGGGAAAGCAAAATAAATGTGTAAGATACAACCATTAAACTTCAGTTGTACTGTGTGAGACACAGGAAGGAACATTAAATGAATTTAAATTTTATTTTCATTTTGACACTGACAGATGTGCGTGGCTGTTGGAGATGTGATATTACAATGGTTCAACTAGTCTGTCATCAGAATTGGGGTTCATCAGGAGTCTGGGTATTTTGGTTCACATGAATTTTCAGAATTCTCAAGCTTTAGATGCTATTGAAGATGGCTGTCGTCTGGGTTGTTGTGTCGTGTAGTATGGTAGAAGTTTACCCGACAGTTCAGTGCTTGCTTCCTCCATCATCAGGCCGATGATGGAGGCAGCAAGGACCGCTGAAACATCAGTAAATTTCTATCACACTACGTGGTGCAGCAACCTGGAAGACAAGCGTCTTAATGATCGACACTATAGGAACCTGAAATCTCACAGTTTCTAGCAGGCATGTGTGAAATCCCAGTCCATGATACATTGGCAGAGCGATAGCAGCCATCTTGTGGAGTAGATCTGAGGAGGCGGATTTTTCGTTACAATGCTGTCATTTGTTCTAAAACCGATATGTGTGCAAGAACATTGACTATTCAGATTCATTTCAGGAATTTCAGCATTTAATACATCGTGCAGTTCGCACAGTAATTGTTGACACACTGATGGTGACAATTAACTTCTTTCATGTTTGTTTATTTTTTATGGATTGCCATCTTCAGATGATAACAACATGGATGGTAAATACGTTAGCTTCTGGGTGTTCAGTAGACTTTGTTGTAGTCACTTCCCTTTTGCTCGTTCACTCTCATGTTCCAAGTGTTTTATTGTATAGTTAAAGGAAATTGGTAATATTTCTGTGCACAGGTGTAACTTAATATTGTTGTAGCAAAATGATCAGAAACATAGATTCTTGGCTCCAAAAGGATATCTGAAAACAATATATACTTTGAAGACTTTGTGGGGAGGATTGTTATGGATGTGTACAGATATAATTTTGTCAAAATGTAGTGTATGGTTTTGGGACAGGATTCCGCTATGTTTAGGTGTGCTTGTGACTTGACACCCCCCCCCCTCCACCTGTGAGACAACTTGGATGTATTATTACACTTAATGGCTTAGAAAGTTAATTGGTCTCTCCAGGGTTCTGTTTGTGATCCTCAGAATTTTGAAATCTGTCTTAATTCTCTTTAATAATTTAAGACGCTGTAGGCATTTTGGCATAAACATGGTAAAGGCTGCTTTGTTGGAAAGAACAGTGGAACTGTGAATCACCGTAGATGGCCGTCTTCTGGGTTGTAGCATTGTGTGGTTTGGTATAAGTTTACCAGTGTTTTAGGGGTCCCATGAGTCATTGCCCTGATGATGGAGGCAGTAAGGACCTCTGAAACGTTGGTTAACTTTTGCCAGACTACGTGGTGTTACAGTGAAGAAGACAGCTAACTTTGTACTCGCAGTTGTGGAAACTTAAAATCCTGCCATAATCACCGTAATTCTCGAAGATATCTGTGTTCTGGGTTGTTGCGCTGTGTAGTCTGGTCGATGTTCATCGCCCTAATGACGGAGGCAGTATGACCTCTAAAACGTTGGTTAACATCGACCAGACTACACAGCGCAACAACCCAGAAGACAGAAATCTTCAGACTCACAGCTGTGAAAACCTCAAATCTTACACCGTAATTCTCCTTTTCTCTCCTCGCCAACAAATTGAGCCTTGGACCTTTTAATTTCTGAGCCATTGTAGGTATATTTTGTGGTGATATCTTGTTAGCACTGTGGCACCCACATATATAAATTTCACTCTTGACTAAATTTTCTATTAAGACTTCTTTGGGTAGTAGAATGTGTGTGTAGAATATGTTTTTAGTATTCCACCTTGTAAGTGCTAAGCATGAAATAGGTTTTGTCAGTCCGTTGGATGAATGAATGAAGTGAAAAAGTTTCAGTTGTGCTTAGGATAATGTTGTTGTTTTATAATACTGTTGTTACTTCATTCCACTGACTTGAATGGAAAATTGGGTATGTGTCGGAGGTATGATCAGTGTGCTGGTGTGGGAAACGTGAAACTCATACTAACACAGACGTGTATTCAGATGAATTAGATACGTAAGAGGACAAAATGTACTATATTTGGGGGAAAAGGGGGCTCAAATAATTGTATCTGTCTTATAGATTAATTATATTTGTATGCAGTGAGCTGTTGCATTTTCTCCACACTGCAACACATTTCTACAGTTCTTCTTCCACTGTATGTCTTGTAAAAATTGATAGCATGTCTAGGAAATATGCATCAATGTGTTCATCCTTTTTGTTAATGTATCCCGCTGAGACTGATTTTTCAAATTTTTATATGGTCGTACTGTTGGCTTCATCGTTTTACCGTACCGTGAAGTTTGTTGCTTAGACTTACCTGTTTTGTTGTAGCTCACACTTTTACTACTTCCAGCATGCGAGCAGATATTATTAATGGGTTAATAGTTTTTCCTTACATGAGATGTTAATGCCACGTGTTAAAGTTTAATAAATGTAGTGTCAAATTATGGTTGTATGTTTGTGAATTGTGGGATTAAGCATTTTTGAAGGTACAATGAATTATAATTATACTCGTGCATACAATAGTGAAGATCGGGGTTTTTTTATGAGAGATAAGAGAATGATATTGTGAGTTTGTTTAGGAGAATTTGAAGTCTGTTCTGGTTTTCAGGTAGTTGGAAACTTAATGTGACTTTGATTTTTATATATTGATTTGTCCACTACCACGAGGTCAAAAAGTAGATTGATTTACTGTGTGTATGCATATACATTAAGATTTCATATCCTGTTCTTTGTTGTGAAGTGATTCAAGTTGGTGAAACATTTAATTTAGAACCCAACCCTGCTTTCTGTTAAGATAGTGTTGTTGATGATAATATGATAGGATTTAGGTATACAATATATTCCTGCACCATTTTTTAGTGTTATTAGTGCTACCAAATTGGAAATCAACACATGAAAACCTGTAACGCATAAATGTACACTTTGTACTTCAATGACGTGATTGCATGATTTTGTAGAAGGGCCACAGCTGGACGAGGACGAAGGGAATCACGGATGGATTGAAGGCTTGGCCATTCTCATTTCGGTCATAGTCGTCGTGATTGTAACAGCATTCAATGATTATACGAAGGAACGGCAATTCAGAGGGTTACAGAACAGAATTGAAGGAGAGCATAAATTTTCTGTGATTCGAGGAGGAGAGGTCAAGCAGATATCAGTTGGCGACATTGTGGTCGGGGACATATGCCAAGTAAGTTTCTCGTTCGGTAGTTAGAAACCACTGCCATTTATTTTAAAATATCTTCTCTGTTTGAATACTCGTTTGTATCTTGCAGGTTAAATACGGTGATCTGTTACCAGCAGATGGCATTCTTATTCAGAGTAATGACCTGAAAGTAGATGAATCATCTCTGACTGGTGAATCAGATCATGTGAAGAAAGGAGAGCATGTTGACCCAATGCTTCTGTCAGGTAAGTTGCTGTACTTAAATCAGGATAACTAATATTAAATTTATGGCAGTCACTTATATCTAGTTATCTTTTATAAAGATTCTAAGTGAGTTTATATAATTTTTCTACTTTTTGATATCTTTATCAGCAATTTCCACACCTTTTTTTGTTAGCAACCCAGCATTTCAAAATTCTTCCACCTGACGACCAATAGTTTGGCAGTTAGGGACAAATTAGAAATATATTGTTTTGTAATTATGCCAGTATTATATTTTTTTAATTGTTGTGTGAATAGAGGTACATTTACAATTACAGAAGTGAACTAACAAAATTTGTCAGCTACATTTACTTGACTAAATTAGCGATACTGTAAAAATGTTTTGACTTTTGCAACCTGGCCCATCAAAAAGTCTGCACAACCCAGCTTTGGGGCATGATCGAAGGTTTAGGAACCCCTGATCTACATCTTTCGCTGTTACGGGTAGCCTCCCTAAGGAGCTGCTTCTATCTAAAAGTGGTCATAATTATCATTGATATTCCTCATCTGTGAATTACTGATGAGTACTGTTGTTGGTCTCTAGATGTCACCTGTAACATAGTCAGTTTATTAAACCATATATCACAATACCACTCACATTACAGCATGCTTATTGATTCAAATGTGTTAATGCTTTTTAAGTGGTTAGTATATTAATTAGTTGCCCTCGGTGGTCTAGTGGTTAGCATGCTCGCCACTAGACCCAAGGTTTGCGGGTTAAAACCTCGCTGAGGTCGATGGATTTTTAAGGGAGATAAAAATCTGTAGCACAACTTCCTTCCGAGTGGAAGTAAAGCTGGCAGTTCCGTGTGATAGATTTATGGCATGTAAAAGATGTTTCGTAAGCAAAATTCAGCAGCCATTTCTCACCCAAGTCTCTCCTGATTCACTACTGGATGGCTCTGGCAGTTAAATCAGGATTGAGTAGAAATTGTGCAGAGGTAGTGGGCTGGTCACTCACTACTCATAAATGCACGCTTCAAAGACTAGGAAAACCCCCAAAAAGGAGGTGGCGAAGACCCACAACTGGGTTGTAGGGCCATGAAAGAAGTATATTAATTAACCTCATAATTATTAGAGTGATCCCATAGACATGCGGATTTCGTACCGCGTAGGAAAAATGCTACAGACAGACGTGGATAATCCGGAATGTAATGATTGTGAGATACAAAATGAGACACATTTTTGAAGGTGTATTCTGTTGCAGGAACTCATGTGATGGAAGGAAGTGGTAAGATGTTAGTAGCAGCTGTTGGGGTGAATTCCCAAGCTGGTATTATCTTCACTCTTCTCGGAGCCGCTGTTGACCAGCAGGAAGCGGAGATCAAGAAGCGGAAAAAAGGTGATCTCTGTAGTTTCAGTTTCCTATGCATGAAACACTTTTGTGTTCATGTTCCCAGTTTGTGTAAATTTCCAGCATGTTCCAGTTTGTTAACATGTTTCTAAAGTCTATTTTATTACGAGAACCAAATTTATTGTGTTGAGTGCAGTTTTGGTTAATGTTGTAAGGAAGAATGCTTTTCTGCCCTCTTTACAAATAATTTCATTTATGAATATCTGTCACTATTGTTCAGACACATAAAGGCCTTGTTAAATCACATTTGGAAACAATGGTGGATGGTTCTAATACTGCAGAGTACCAAATGATTTTTATTTTAAAATTCTTAATCTTCGGATAGTGAAAACTAAATATTATCACCATTACTTACTAAAAGTCTTCTGCCTTGCACGTCGAATAGCTTTGTCTTTTTGTATTTTTATAATGTATACTTATAAAATTTCGGGGGTCCACAGTGGCGCGCGGGAAAACCCCCAAAAAGGAGGTGGCGAAGACCCACAACTGGGTTGTAGGGCCATGAAAGAAGTATATTAATTAACCTCATAATTATTAGAGTGATCCCATAGACATGCGGATTTCGTACCGCGTAGGAAAAATGCTACAGACAGACGTGGATAATCCGGAATGTAATGATTGTGAGATACAAAATGAGACACATTTTTGAAGGTGTATTCTGTTGCAGGAACTCATGTGATGGAAGGAAGTGGTAAGATGTTAGTAGCAGCTGTTGGGGTGAATTCCCAAGCTGGTATTATCTTCACTCTTCTCGGAGCCGCTGTTGACCAGCAGGAAGCGGAGATCAAGAAGCGGAAAAAAGGTGATCTCTGTAGTTTCAGTTTCCTATGCATGAAACACTTTTGTGTTCATGTTCCCAGTTTGTGTAAATTTCCAGCATGTTCCAGTTTGTTAACATGTTTCTAAAGTCTATTTTATTACGAGAACCAAATTTATTGTGTTGAGTGCAGTTTTGGTTAATGTTGTAAGGAAGAATGCTTTTCTGCCCTCTTTACAAATAATTTCATTTATGAATATCTGTCACTATTGTTCAGACACATAAAGGCCTTGTTAAATCACATTTGGAAACAATGGTGGATGGTTCTAATACTGCAGAGTACCAAATGATTTTTATTTTAAAATTCTTAATCTTCGGATAGTGAAAACTAAATATTATCACCATTACTTACTAAAAGTCTTCTGCCTTGCACGTCGAATAGCTTTGTCTTTTTGTATTTTTATAATGTATACTTATAAAATTTCGGGGGTCCACAGTGGCGCGCGGTCTGAGGCATTGCCCTTGTGCCGCTTGGTCGCTGGGACCGTGAGTTCGAATCCCACTCAAGCCACGGATGTTTGTCCGCGTCTTTCTGTGTTGTACTGTCCTGTATACAGGTAGAGGCCTTGCGACGGGCCGATCCCTCGTCCAAGGAGTCCTACCAAATGTCTATAGATCGAACCAATGAAAAGTTGGGACCCGCAGTGCTCAGGCACTTGAAGAACGGGTCGTTCCCAGTATCCCAGTATAAAATTTCAGAATTTATCTGTACTTGGTGTTAAGAAACACAGAAAGTATTTTATTTACAAATATATCATTTCATTATCTGTTTTTATTTAATATTATCATTTGCTTAATACTTCAGATGGTACTTGGCTTTAGCATATTTTCTTGTAATCTGATGAAAGATATACCAAAGAATAGTTTTAATACATATTGAATATTATTTATGTTTTTAATATGCAGAGTGTAGCTTAAGGTCTGGCACAAATGTAGGAGTAAGTTTTAAACACTGAAACGAGGGGAAAAGTTCATATGAACTTGAGCCTGGAGGAGCCTCATTTCCAAGTTATAGCCTCCTTTTCCTTTTTGGAAAATTTCAATGCATTGTTAGTTTTGTTGCTTTCTGTCCCTGGAGCTCAAATATGGCAAGAACTTAAAATGTCTTTTGTGCTTTGTTTTGTCATTGTCAGCTGAACACATTAAGAAACTTTGACAGGGTTTGAGGAATGTCTAATGGGCGTCTAAGAGTTTCTACATCGTTGACAAATCATATAAACTGATATTTTTGTGTCCCTACAAATTTTAACCATTGTTGCTTACCGTTAATAAAATAAATTAATTTTAGAGAACAGAGATATTGAACTTGGATGTTGTAAACTAAGAAAAAAAGCAATACAATAATGTTAGTTTTGTTAGCTGGGGTAGCTCAGTCAGTGACTGGCTACGGACTGGATGACCAGGGTTCGATCCCCTACAGGGGCAGAGGATTTTTCCTCTAGCCTCTGCGTCCAGACCGGTTCTGGGGCCAACCCAGCCTCTGTCCTTTCCTGGGAGTAAAGTGCGGCCAGGGCGTGATGCTAACCACTCACCCCCATCTAGTGCCGTGGTCAAAATTGAGTAGGAGCTATGCCTGCTCTCCCCCCAACCGCCTACATGGCATATAGTGGGACAGCTCTGCTTTTGCTTTTACTGTTGATGCTGAAGTGTGTCCCAGACTGCACCACGTGTCTGTCATACCAATTTCTTCCCATTGCTACTCATTGTCACAAATATTGTGCTGCATTGACATTTTGAAAGGTAAAGAGTGATTTGACTCAGAAAGGAGGTTTCTCCGGACCCATATGTATGTAAACCTTTTTCATTATTTTGGTGAAAAGAAATTCCGTTATATTTGTATGAGACATTTATGGTAGAGAACTGTGCGGAAGGATAATATGAAACTGTGGGATTATTGCAATTTATACAGAAGAGGATTGTGTTTGGCAGTATTGAATAGTTGTTTCGGATGTAAAAACTTTCTTGTTTAAAATTGTGTTACGGAATATGAAATGGTAATTGCTCATGTTGTATTTGTGATGTGGATTTTATCTTACATTGTGCCATCACTTGTTATGGTCCTGCTAACACGTCCTCATTGCATTTTGTGTTAATCGTAATACCACGTTCTGTTTGTCATCAGAAAAGTGACCTGTTGCAAACACTTTCCTACTGTGTGTATGTTGTGTATTCCATACAAGATCTTATAAATCCTCCTGGACAGAATTCTTGATATAATTTGCATGTCTTACTTCTCTTGATTGAAATAATCAGAATACAGAGTAGAATATTAGTTTAGTTTGAGCAGCATTAGTGCCATGTGTCTATGAATATATTCGTAATTCATTTTAAAAAAATTAATTTTATCTAACCAGAAACATTTAGGTTTATCGCCATGATTTTCATAAGGAATTGGTTTTTATACTTCCTAATTAAATCATCTGTTACACATTGGATCAAAATATGATATTTTTGGCTTATTTGGGAACAGTTTGTTAACAAGAGGAAGGAAATGGATTAAGCACGTACCTTTACCCAGCAAGCATGGATTGTACATTTGAAAATTCATCATATACTAGTGTGAAACCCATTGGCGTACTGTTTATTATACATGTGCAAATGAAGTACAGTTTATTCTTGGTTGATTTTTGTTTTTAAAGAAAATTTGAAATCTCCATCATAGTTCTCTGTGTATGATACTGTGATTATGCGAAGCGTGGTTTTTTTTTTTCCTTTTTTCTTTTTTTCCCCTCTCTCTCTCAAGATTGCGAAGTGCCTAGAAGAATATGTACTTGTAACACATCAGCACATGGTCTTAATGGGCTGTTTGATATCTGTGAAAATAAAACTTACAATTCTAATGGTGATATGACTGACAGTGATGGTAGAGATGAAAGAAACAGTGGCTCAAGTAACCATTACTGAGCTACTTCCACTCCTCACGCACAAAGGAAGCAGACAGTGAGTGTGTGAAAATAGAATCTTGCTTACCGAGCAGAATTATCTCATGAGTCTGTACCACAAATCAGCCCAGCGTTTACTAATAAATCCCACTGAAGTGAGGATAACATGTTGTTTGCCCTTCAGTATCTCTTATCATAAATAATACATGGCACTTACATATACAGGTAGGCCCCGCTTTATGACATTTCATTTTATGCTGTTTCACATTAACGCTCTTTTAAAATAATAATGAAAAAAAAATTTGAAAACACAAGCCTAAATGCAGCACAGGAAGTGGGTACCTAGGCGGCGCTAGTGTTAGCGTCAGTTGCTTTCTCCTCGTCCGCCAGTACAATACATTATAATTCTTCCTCGATTTATGCCGCTTCAGCTGACGACCCTGAGGAAGTGGAACGTAACCCCGGCGTAAATCAGGGGCCTACCTGTATATGAAATGAAATTCTGGGTTTAGAGAAGTTATATGCCATCTTTTGGCAGGAGAGGTAATGATATCTTAAATACTTGTGATAAAATAACATACTGCACGAAACCTCTGAATTGGGCACTAGCTAGTTCAGGGCACAAATGCTTGTGCACCTGAATCAGACTTTGGGTATGCCAGTGGGTTAATGTGTTCGTAATTTTGCTCGTATTTGAATATTATTAGATTTTGGTTGTTTCCATATGCATCGTACTTCCTTATGTAACACTGCACTTGAAACTTTAAATACATTTGTGCACATGAAACTTGAAATTAGCAGAGAATACATTAATTTTATACGTCTAATATACATCTATTGAAATGTTTCAGTAGACGTGTGTTAGAATGTAGCAGCTTTACGTAAATTATGCAGTGTGTCAGATCTTATCAGAAGTTGTAATTTGGTATAAGTTACATGTAGATGTAAATTGCAGAGTTGTGTTTCAACTGCAAAGAATTGTATATGTAACTTTCTGAAAGTGGTCACAGGTAATATGCACCAAATGTAAGTGAAATAGTTGCGAAGTGTAGCGCTTTCCTTGATCTTGTAAAGTAATTAGATGTGATATCCTTTATCAATTTTAATTATGCCCTACCATCTGTGTCTTCGTCTCAGAAGTGGTCTCTTACCTTCGAGTTTTACGCATCTTATTCTTGATGTGTTACCGTGTTGCTTGTTGTTGGTTCCTTTGGTATGAATTGTGCCTAACACATAAATTGTTAATGGTGCATATCTTGTCATTAGGTGGGCTGGTTTCCGTGACTTTTGTTTGCTCGAGGCACCATTTTTCCTAAGGCTGGCCCTGATGTTGATTATCTGTTTTCTCATGCTGTAAAGTTGTTAGGCCTGATATGGACTGTAACTTTTTCTTTCCTTCTTTTGACAGCTTGGCAATGCTTTACAGCAGTGGTCCCCAACCTTTTTGTGCCTACGGGCACATTTGAGAGTTTATGAGATCGTGGCGGGCACCAACCATTTAACAAAGCCAAATTTTCTTTTCTCTGGACAAATAAGATATAGACACCAAATAATACACAAAACAACACGACGTTTAATGATACAAGAAACCATGCAATCAAAAATACGTAGTTTTATAAGTACAATTATTATTACTCAAGTGGGAAGTTAGTGTGATGTTTGACACTGCATTTCGGCCAGTTTTTCAAATTTGGGAGTGTAGGATGATGTTGCTGCTCGCAAGCAATCGTCAAGATGGGCATCAGTAAGTCAAAATTTGTGCTTTGATTTTATAATGTTCATGGTTAAATGGCCTTCATTATTCAGTATAACCTCTTTCCGTAACAACGCGGGCACCAAAAAAAAGCCATGGCGCTTGCGGGCACCGCGTTGTGGACCACTGCTTTACATCAACCTAGTGAGATCAGGTCTTGAATATGGTTCAGTTGTATGGAATTCTTTTACCACCAATTGCTACAAAGAAATGTTTATTATCCAATGGTTTGCTACTTTGTGTTGCAACAGATTTTTTTAAAATTATAATGCTTACAGTTATGAATGTTTCTTGGATAACTTAAAATGGTATACATATGTGAGAGATGGCATTATTTTGAGGTCTTACATACAAGGAACATTTATAACAGTTTTATAACTTGTCCATTGCTTGTAGAAGCTGTTGGTGTTTAAGTTTGTGTCAAAATTAAGAGACATAAGTACATTTTCTGCTTCATTTTCACATAGTGAATGCATTTTGTTGACTGTGTCTTAGCTGCAGATGGGGTGTGTGATAACGTGTTTGATAATAAATTTCTGAATATTAATCTTTTGCTTAATTTGGTTAATCGGTAATTACCATATTGTATCACCTTCAGTTTTGTTATAAAGTTTATGGTGCGGTGCAGATACTAAATTAGTCCAGCGTGTACTGTGCACTAGAAAGTTTCATATGAATTAATTCTTTGTATGTATTGTTTAGTTCTCTATAATTGTAATTGGTTCCTGTAGCTGCTGAGTTAGCACATTAGAGTAAAGCATTGAAATTAGTTGGATTGAATGGTATTTTCATAAGCATGTCTGTAAATATCATTTTTTACTACAAAGTTGAGCATTTATGAATTTTCAAATGTACCTTTTAAATTCACAAACCAGTTTATGTGAACCACTTTAAAATTGACTTTCCATTCTTCTAAATCTGTCAGTGACAATTGTTTATTGGTGTTTCTTTGAATGAAATGGCTTCCAATGTGGACCAGGTGTTGAGATGTGTGATATTGATTTGTTTTTGTGTTTGTAATACTAATGGATTTCCTTTTGCATGATTCCCTGTCCAGAAGCTAAGAAACAGCGGAAGAAGAAGAGTTTGACAGGTGAAATCCCTTTTTTGATTCTTTATTATATTATTGCTTTATTACACTGTAGTTGATAGAAGTTGCATATTTTATAACAGTAGAATTAAGAATGTATGTTTTTCCAAGCATGGCTTCTTGGAAACCATTCTTTGCAGAGTAGTATCATTTATTTAACCTTCATTATCCTTTTGATGCATCTATTACATAGTCCAGCTTTACTTGTGTTGGACTAGCATAATAAAAAAATTAAAAGTAAAGCCATCCCACTATACGCCATGTAGGCGCTTGGGGGCAAGTGGAGGTATAGCTCATACTCAGTTTTAACTGCGGCACTAGGTGGTAGTGAGGGGTTAGCGTCACTCCCCGGTCACGCTTTATCCCTTGGTGGGTCCCAGAGCTGGTCTGGACGCAGAGGCTAGAGGAAAAATATACGCTGCCCCCATCGGGGATCGAACCCCGATTAGCCAGTCAGTATACCAAATTGTTAACTATGGAGTTATGGTCTGGCTGGCAGCATTATCGTACGGGGTTTAAATCAACTGTTCCCATTCATTAAAGGTTAAATGAGTGATAGTTTTCATAAATCCTTTATGTTACGATTGACTGTGAAATGTTGCTCAGATTTGTTTGCACATCGAAGATGGCCATAAATCAGGTGTTTTTCACATTTTTTTAGGATGTTTATCATAAATTACTTAAGTAATGTGGATATACCACTTTTTATTACTTTGTGCATAAAAATATAATGATTAGTTATTATATTCCAGTAGTTATAACTAGGACGAGGACCAGAACATAGTAACTGGCTTTCAGTGACAGAATATCTTTAAATAGTAATTAAGTAAATTGTGTTGGTCATTGTTATTGATAGGGTATGTTACTTTATCGCTAAGGGTTAATAGTGCAGTTTTACTATTGTAAATGTGCATGCCTTAACTGAAGAGGTTCATAGATACCAAATGGAAATTTTCGTAATAAATTTCAGTGCTGAAATTGCACAGGACATCACATGCCAGCTATAGGGTACAGTAGTTCATGTGAAATTAGTACTTATAATGAGGTTAACTTCACCTCATCCTAAAATATTGTCAAAATCAGCTGCACATTGCAACACTCAGACTTTTCCTGATACAGTGATACACAATTTGATAAAGCATATGTTATATGAAAGATGTTCTTACCGTGACAAGACGCCAATATTACAGAGGAGCGAGCTGACACTAGTATCTACTGTACAGTTCCCAAAGCCAGCCAAGTATAAATTGTATATTTTGAGTGAATTTATGGCAAGAGTTCAACATTCATCTGACTCGCTGGGGGGCAAAGAACTTTTTCAAAATGTGCATTGAGGAAAGAAGTCAGTTTAAATGATACTCTCAGATCTTTGGCAACAAAGGACGCTTCCAGTAGCAGGGTGGCAAATAACTGTATGGCCCAGTTCTCGCTTGCTTCGCAGATAAACACTGTAAAGAAATAAGCTGAAAATTGTTTTTTTCTGCAAAAGCTCTTTTTCTTCTCCTTCGTAATTGGAAATGTACTGGTAGCAGCAGAATATTCTTTAAATTAACAAGCATGAAGGGTGGTCAGCAAATGGCAAACTTGAGAGAAATTAATTTATACTTATTTGTGAGTGTCTTTAGAAGATAAAATTGTGCCCTCAGTCCTTGATAGCTTACATAGCTCATATTTAATATGCGAACATTTTGCATGGCTCTGCTACACGCGATATTGTATCTTCCCCCCCCCCCCCCAAAAAAAAAGAGAGAGAGCACCCATCTGCATTTATTTAATATCTGGAATACTGTATTCTGAGAAAACTAAATACAGAAAACCCCATTAGTTCAAAATATATATTCACTTTAATATAAGAGAAGGGATCATACTGTAATATGAATGAAAATTCCTTCACTAGGGTGAAGTTTTGTATCCTCTGTTTCATGCACATTCACTCTAATATTATAAAGGATTTGTAATATACAGAAATTACAAATTAATAACATAAATTAAGTTTCCTGATGCATAGAAGTGCAGCAGTAGGTACCAAACGTAGTACACTATTTATATCTCTTAAGTCTAATACATAAGGAAAGCAATATAATAGCAAGTATGTGAAAAAGCAGTAATTACATGCATTTTATTTTATTACTGTGTTGAATAGTGACTGACAAAATAGTTTCACTCATCACTACAAGCAGAAAACAACTGTTTTCTGTAATTTATATTTTAATCTCTATAATATGGTAACAGTGGATTTAAACCCCTGTACTACAGGGCTACCAGGTGGAATTCAACTCCAGGATTAATGGTTTAGGAGTATACTAATGTGATGAGCAGCCTGCTGGAAATTGTGTAAGTTGTGACATATGATCAATAATGGTTACATTCAGGTAAATGAAAGTAACATTCCCCACCCATAAATACATAAACTCTGTAACATAGGCAATTAAAATGTGGTTAATTTGTAAGTCAGCATCATCATTTAGTCCTGCAAGTACTAGAATATAGTGTATGTGAAACTATTATCTCCAAGAAAGATATTTTTACAAACAATACAAATATATAATGGAAAGGGAATAAGAAAAAATTAATCACAGATTTTTAAAAAAAAAAAAGTGAGTGGGGTCAATGATAAGTTGCATGATTTTAGCCTTGCATCAGGCAAACAAGTTTTGCCACAAGTATGTTTATTACATTATCTTTACAATATTAATGTTGATGGGAAACATACTGATATTATAAAATACAAATGCTTAACTATACACTTCAGTGTTCAACTACTTTTATTGAGTGTTGTAATAAACTATGTCATTTGTAAGCAAATTATCATCGTTGCAATATTGCGTAACTTAACCTAACCGTAAAAGTTTAACTGTTATAAATGAACAGATGAAACAAGAACGCGGCTGTTGGCAGCATAATGGCCTTATCACTCTATTTTGCTGTACAAATGTCTCTAAACCTCATTCAAGTTGTATGTGTGGAGGTTAAAGCATTTCTGCGTTAAGACAATTACGGGCATCGTTTTTTTTATGATTCAAAATTTTTGACATGACATTATAAGACAGTTACATGTACACCCTGATCACATACTTTTTTATGTATTTTGAAGTGAATCAGGAGAGATAGCCTTAGCCATTATGTTCTGTATGCAGGTGAAGAAGACGTAGCACCAGTAACTGGTAACAGTCACGTGAGTGTACCTGCTCCTATTGCCGACAACACACCAAATAAGCACGATGATGCCTTGGAAAACCACAAGCCTGCACCAGCATCAGAGAGCCACAAGAAAGAGAAATCTGTGCTCCAAGCTAAGCTGACCAAACTTGCCATCCAAATCGGTTATGCAGGTAATTTTTATGCACTGAAGATTTAAGTGGAGTTTATCAAGCAGTACTTTTGACATACAGATTTTTCTGCGTCACAAAATATCTGCACAAAAGTTAAATCCTGAGTTACAGATAAAATGTTACTTTGACTAGTAATAATGTGTGTATTAAGCAACAGAATTTTCTGGTTACTTTCTACACAGCTGAATTAAAAGTTTATTTTTCAATTTTGGTAATAAAATGTTCGCACTACATTCTTCAACAAAACTGCCATTATGTTTATGACGTTCAGCATGTCTGTCTGTACACTCATTGATGTTATTTTGTTGAAACATGTAATGTGAGAGGTTTATTACCGTAATTGGAATTATCATTTTATTCCGTTATGTTGACAGTATGCAAAAATCTCTGTTGACTAATAATGAGCGTATGTAAACGCCCTCGGTACCCATTGGATAGGAGGCTGGGTGGGCCCCAGAATCGGTCTGGACGCAGAGGTTAGAGGAAAAATTCTCTGCCCCTATCAGGGATTGAACCCTGGTCGTCCAGTCCGTAGAAAGTCACTATACTGACTACACCGGCTCATATAAGGTTCAAGTAGGTGATGTATGTCAGTGTGAAGAGGAGAAGAGCCTTTTGCTGTTATGTCTTATGTATCTTGGGGTCTTCTTTAAATTCACTTAAGTGTGTAATGTTTTGAGAATTGTAGGGTTTGTATGAGAAATAATATAAAAATAAAGATTTTTCTGTTCTTTTTTAGGTTCCATGATTGCCATGCTAACAGTAGTGATATTAGTTATTCAATTCTGTATAAAAACATACGTGTTTGAAGAGAGCGGCTGGAAGAGTAGTCATGCAAGTGAGCTTGTCAAGTATTTTATCATCGGTGTGACTGTGTTAGTTGTTGCGGTGCCAGAAGGGCTTCCATTAGCTGTTACACTTTCTCTTGCGTACTCCGTAAAGGTATGTATGTGATGCAAACATCCAGGAAGGAAATGTTAGGTATGGATTTCAGTGTACTCCAAAATGAGTTAGGAGAAGTTTGGAATTTTGAGATGAGTTACTAATTACAGTTCATTGTCATAAGAATATTCATGAACCCCCTTTTTTTTTACCCCTCCTAGAAAATGATGAAAGATAACAATCTTGTTCGTCATCTTGATGCGTGTGAAACTATGGGAAATGCTACTGCCATCTGTTCTGACAAGACTGGAACGCTTACTACAAATAGGTATTTATGATTATAGCATCTGGTGCGACATAATTCTTATGGGACTCTAAATATACATATGAATGTACAATAATAAAACTTGCTCGTTGTTGTCTGTTTTATTAGGATGACAGTTGTTGAATCATACATATGTGAAAAGTTAAGTAAAACAATTCCCAAGTTTTCGGATATTCCGCCGCATGTTGCGAACACGCTAATCCAAGCCATCTCCATCAATTCAGCGTACACATCTTGTATTATGGTAAGAACACGTTTTTACTGACACATTCTTAAATAAAACTGTCATGTTAATGTTTGGGATGCTTATGATGCAAATTGGCTTCTGCTTTCAGCCAGGAGATGGCGCTGGTGAATTGCCAAAGCAAGTCGGTAATAAAACTGAGTGTGCTTTGCTAGGGTTTGTGGAAGCACTTGGTAAACGTTACCAGACAATTCGGGATGACATACCAGAGGAAGTGTTTACTCGGGTTTATACATTCAACTCTGTAAGAAAATCTATGAGCACTGTGGTACCACGGCAAGGGGGAGGTTACAGACTCTTTACCAAGGGAGCATCAGAGATTGTCCTCAAAAAGTAAGTTTGAATAACAGATTGTGTTGCTCACAGTATTATGCAGAATTGCATGATTTATATGTACTTTTTCTTCCTTAGTGCAATATAGATGCAATTTGGCTTAATGAAATGTTCAGATAACTAGTACTCAAGGTTTTGGTTAGCAGATAATGAAATAATAATAATAATTTTTGTTTATGGTATAATTAAAGTTGAAACTCGGTGTTTAAGGTCTGTGAATGTTTTGAACATTTGTATACATATGTTTAGATGTGTAAGATTTGAGGTTTTCACAGCGGTGAGTCTGAAGATTTCTGTCTTCTGGGTTGTTGCTCTGTGTAGTTTGGTCGATGTTCATCACCCTGATGACGGAGGCAGTATGACCTCTGAAACGTTGGTTAACGTCGACGAGACTACACAGAGCAACAACCCAGAAGACAGAAATCTTCATGTTTAGATGTGTTGCTCATTCCTGGTTTTAAGTGGTTCGTATTCTTTTCTGCCTAACCCATCAGCATTCACACAGGTCCATTTTTACAGATGCGCCTTTATTTATGGCCGAGACGGTCACCTGGAAAAATTTACGCGAGAAATGCAAGATCGATTGGTCCGTCAAGTCATCGAACCCATGGCCTGTGATGGGCTCCGTACCATCTCAATAGCTTATCGGGAATTTGTACCTGGTAAAGCAGAAATTAACCAAGTGCACATTGATAGTGAACCCAATTGGGACGATGAGGAGAACACAGTCAACAATCTGACCTGCGTCGGTTTGGTAGGGATTGAAGACCCTGTGAGACCAGAGGTGAGTGGAATATGTTTAATCATCCAGTTGCATTGCGTGTTAAGCTGAGATGGCATGAATTTGTCTTTAAATTTCAGCAGGTATTGTACCACATCATTTTCACTTCATTGCAGATTGTACATATTTATTTAACGACACTTTTTCAGTAGCTCACACTATATAGTGTCAAACGAGAGGAAGGAAGCAGTCATGGCCTAATTTAAGGTACTATCACAGCATGTGCCTATAGGGACTGAGGAAAATCATGAAAACCCCAGTCAGGGTAGCCAGTCTCAGGGCCAGCGTTTGAACCCGGGACCTTCTGAATACGAAGCAGGATTGTTATCCACTTGATTGTGATGTTCGGTTCCAGATTTTACAGTTTTGATGTGACATAAGTCTTGGTTTGTGTGTGTGTATCTTCGTGTGTTTACAGAGATTGTTTGAAGATTTCTGTGAGAGAGAGAGAGAGTTTTATATATGTCAACCAGTGTTCCAACATTTCTTAGCTTTGTATATACATTTGCCCTTCAATCTGTATCTATCGTGTTATGAAAATATCGTCACATAGAATGAGTTATTTCGCTATCATTTTACTTCATCTTTCCTTTAGATTTTTTTAAAGTGAGCCCAATGTCTGTGGTGTTCATTTAAAATTCTGATCAACTATAAATTGCATGGAAGAGCACAAATAGTATTTTCTGGTTAGTATGAATATTTATGCCAGGTTAAAATCTGTCGCTGTTTACTGAATATTGTGCAAGAATAAGGATAGGAATTGACATTAATATTTTCATGGGATACTGTTTTTTGAAGTATCTTTTAGCGTGTTCTATAAGTAGGCCAGTTATTACACACTTACTTTATACACAGACTGTGCTTATATATGAATATCTTCTTCTTCTATGGCTCTCTGGTCCGTATTCGGTCCATGGCCTCCTCAATTCTCCTCTTCCGTTCGGTCCTCAGTTAGGTCCGTCTGTCTGAGGCTTTGACTGAGGTTTCGAAACATCTTCCTTTTTACGGTGCGAGGTTGTTAGCCTTGCGACCAACCCCAGGACTAGGGTACCTGTCTTAGTCTGACCTCTCCCCCTTGACCAATCTGGCTAGGGATGCCCTACCAGTAGCTCTTGGGGTCACTGAGGTACTCAAGCCCCACCACCACAACAAGGTGCAGGTACCATTAAGTTGAGATATATGAATATATAAATGTGATTACGGCCATAATTCAGTGATCCCTTGAAATTGATTACAAACACAAGGTTTGTTTTTGGTCTGCTTGTTACCTACTTTACGGGCTTGTTTTCTGATGAGCGATAAATAAAGCTAATTTCAGCATGGAGGCTATGAAACTATGAATATAAAAGTTTCTGGTTATGTCTTCGTTATGAATGCAAAATTTTATTTTGATAATATTTCAAATTTGTTTAATTTGGTATTTCTTTGTCTTTCTCTCAGTAATTGAATATGAATTTTAGTTGTCAGCCAACATAGAAAAATTTTGTTGTGTATATTTCAGGTTCCTGAAGCTATCAAAAAGTGCCAGAGGGCTGGAATCACTGTGCGCATGGTCACTGGAGATAACATAAACACAGCGCGGTCCATTGCTACGAAATGCGGAATTTTGAAACCTGGAGACGATTTCATTATTTTAGAAGGAAAGGAATTCAACCGAAGAATACGAGACAGCAATGGCGAAGTAAGAGCTTTACACTATTTTGTCATATTAGTATGCAGAGTGTATTTTGTCTGACTTCTCCTTTACTGCTGTCCATAATCAGTTAAAAATTATGATATTTTGTTTATTTGTTCTTTCATGATCAATTAAGTGATGGGCGACAATGAATTAATATTGTCAGGAATGGAACAAAGTCAAAATGCTCACATTCAGATTAGAGTTCTGGTGGACGTAGCTGGGGTTGGAAAAAGTGTGGTAGCACAGTAGCTGTCCAACTGCCAGGAGGCTAATGGAAGTTGCAACGTGTTTTGGGTGGGTGCTGACGTCACAGGCAAGTGGAGCAATTTTGCAAGACTAGGTCGTATGGCAGTGGTGTTATTACTTGGACGCAGGTTTTTTGTAAAGCATTTAGCCACCAGGCAGGCTGCTCTGAGCTCCTACACTCTCTTCAGCCCTTAATTATATAATAATAGTAAAATAAAAAATTATTGGTGGCAAAATGTTTTTTCGTTCATAGGTTATACTATAGTTCTGTCTTTCTGTGGTGTTCAAAGATTGATTACTGTTTCTCTTTTTTTCTTTTCTGATGGCACCTAATTAGGATACAGGATATTGCTCTTGCAATATGTTGAAACAACTTTTTCTTCTGGGACTGGATTTTACATAATCATAATAATAAAAGAAATTCTTTTGAAGATGTTATTTTCCTGAAGAAAATGTGTCTTGTAGTACAAAACCTGGAATTATTAAGTATTATAAAGAAAGATGCCTGCTCATGTTCCCCACAACTTCTCCTTCAGGATTTTATGGTCCCGCTTCAAATTTTGCAGTCCGAATAAGCAACGTTGTTTCGATGCAGAGTGATCACATTGAAATGTAAACTGTGGACAGTGAAAAGTGAAGAAGATACAAGTTTATGAGATGACTTGATTTTTAATTTCTTTACCAGAAGCAGATTTTTCAGTTCAAATATACTCATCTTTAATTTTGCAAAATAATATCTGCGTCTGTAACTAAAATTATGGAAGCCTCAATTGTGTGAAGTTTTGTTTCTTTGGAAGTATATCGAACAATTTAAATTAACTCCTGAAGTATGGTTGAGTACTGAAAAGATAAAAAAATCATTGTTGCATGTGTAAAAGGCTTGAAATGAAGATATGTAGTGTTTTTCAAGTATTTACAAGAATAAGAAAATGAATGTTAAATTCTGTAAATGTTACGTGTATCTTCTTAATGAGAGGAATATAATATTACATTATATACAAATTGGAAGCTACAATTCACGTATTATGCTACGTTTTCTTATTCTGTGCATCATTTCCAGTTCTTTGTAATTTATTTTTAAAAAAAGTGTTGTATTTTGAAAGTAATGTCGTTCACTGGAAGACATGGCGAATAAAGCTGTGAAAGTTGCACATAAACCAATATCAGGTCAACCGAAGGAGAAAGAATGCAAACAAACTTTGAGATGTGTTGAAGAAAATAAATTTAAATAAATGCATATTTAAATAATTTGAAGGATAATAAAAACAGGCAACTTGTAAATCAAGTTTCAGATTTAAAAATTAAATCGTGGCAATAAAGACAATGTCGGTGGAAGTAGGCAGAAGAGTGACATGACCAAAAATAAATATATTTTTGATCATTGACGACGTCATCAGCAGAGGCTGAGTAGACTATGATGATGGTACTGAAGCAAGAGAGAAGGATTTTTGTGATTGTTGTAATTTTAATGAAGAAGGATGGGATTATCTTGACATTGATAATGAATAAATGGTGACGTGGTGAGATATGGGATATCGTAAGAAGAGTGTCATGGTGGTTTTGGAAATGATGATGACAGTGATGAATTGGCTTCATGATTATGAACAGGATCAACATTAAGGCTGAAGACTGTACTGAATGACTATAATTTCCTTTAAGGAATAAAATAAGTAATAACTTTGAATATTTGAGTGTGATTAGTAAGTGTCCTGTGTCATTACAGAGACAAATCTGCCAACAGGAAGATGTTAAGTGCTGGTCTCTTTTTCTTGCCACGTAATTAAAAAGAAAAGATGGCATTTGAATAAGTAGTTACTGGTTTAGGACAAATTATGAAATTAAAGACTTGTATCATTGTCCTGATAATGGAGGTTTCAGAAGATAGCCGTCTTCAGGCTCGCCGCCACGAAAACCTCAAATCGTACAAAGACTTGAATATTTTTCATGCAAGTGCGTTATAATTCAATAAAACATGGATTTTTATGTAATGCAGTTATATTTCAACATTTGTTGAAGGTGTTAAATGAGGTTATGTAACACTGGAATTAAAAATTATAAGCCGAGCGTATGGATATAACGTGCCGCATTAGAAATGGTCATGATGTCAAAAAGTGTCTGATGGATACAGACATTATATACGTGAAGCTTGTTTCATTTTTGTGTGCCACGTAATGTATATGAAATTATTTCGTGCAACTGAAAACCTAGAAAAGTTTAATGTGAAATTAAATATAAACATAGGTCAGTTAATATTAACTCTGCGTTATGTAGAGTTTTGCGATTTGTTTAATATTTAATGAATGAATTGTTTTAACGGAAAATCAGTTAAAATAAAGAAACAAATCAAATTCAGAAAAAAGAGTAACATCGAATCAGATGATGTGCTGTATTCCGAAGTGGCTGCATAAAAAAACACTTGAAGACGGTTATGCAAGGAATAAAACAGAAATCTGGAATACAAAGATGATATCTACAAAATATTGTATAAAAACAAGAGACAAAACAAGAATTAAAATTGTGAAGCAGATTTAAATATTTTATGGAAAGAGATCATAAAAATACGCCATTTTGTGCGTTCACTTTTATTACGATGAAATGGTATTGTTTGTGCAGTTGATATTCTGTAGAAACTGAAATAATCCATTTTAACTTGAATTACTGTCTGGATCACTGAATTATTTTGCTTTTGATAAAATAAATAGAAAATGCTACTGTGAGGTCACATGTACAAAGTTAGGTGGATATCTGTTCATACATACAAAAGCAAGTTATCATTATTGTTACTATTAAATTAATTTTTGTAATTTAATATATCAGTAAAATTTTGGAAATGAGCTGGCATAGCTCAGTCAGTATAGTGACTGGCTACGGACTGGACGACCGGGGTTCAATCCTCAATGGGGGCAGAGGATATTTTTCCTCTAGCCTCTGTGTCCAGACCGGTTCTGGGGCCCACCCAGCCTCCTATCCAATGGGTACCGGGGGCAAAGCGCGGCCGGAGCGTGACGCTGACCACTCACCCCATCTAGCGCCGAGTTCAAGAATGAGTAGGAGCTATAGCTGCTCTCCCCACAAGTGCCTACATGGCGTGTATTGGGACAGCTTTATTTTTTTGTAGTAAAATGTCAGATGAGGATGACTTTGATTTAAAGAATGTAAATAATTAACATAAATGAATGGAAATAGGTTTGAAATATCCAGTACAGAAGGAAATGCTTGGTTTTTCAACATTTGCTGTGGCGTAAGTTTATTGAAGACTGAACAGCTTGGAAGTGAGAAGCTATTTGGGAGTTGAACTTATAAGTTGCTGATTTCACTGTCCCAAAAGCAGCTTGTTTTAAAATAATTTCATGATAATATTTCGATAAAAAATATTGAAGGAACTGTAATGGTGAGTATTAGGCATTGCCAATTAAAGTAGCTTCTACTTTGATGTTTGAAGGGTTACTGGTTCTTATGTGCTGCACTTGCCTGGTGGGATAGAACAGCCTCAACAAGAAATACTGTGCTACTAAAAAAATACAATTACTTTTTCCAGCTCGTGCTTGTTTTAAAACTGTAAACTTTCAGTTTAAGCTTCTCTAGGAAGTCGTAGGCAAAGTTTTATGATTCTAATATTGTAAGTTGAATATTCTGGTTGACAGGCTGAAAGCTGTGTTCACTCTGTGCTTATCATGTAGTACCTAGGTGCAATAGTGGACTTTGAACCTGGTTACCTATTTTCAGTCCCTCTCCAAATACAGCAGTGATGGGATCTTCTCAAAAATTCATGTGTTGGCCAGAAAGCGTCTGAAGTAACTGAATTTACCCCCTAGCAGCACAGTATTTTTTGAGTGGATCCCTGCCTGTTCATCACATGGTTCTCCAATATTTGGGATGCATCTCTGCATTTCTGTTCTGATTAGAATTTTTAATAAAGATATAATATGTGCATTAGATAAAATATTTTTGCATGACGTGTCATAATAAATCGTCAGTCTGTGTGTTACTGTTATTCAGAGAGGGCAGAAAATAGCTTTAAAGTCTCCGTGGCATGTAAAAATGTAATTTTATTTCAGTTATGTACCTGTGTAATACAGCCAGACACACTAAGTTTTTAATGACTACCACGACAATTCAGTGTGGCTGCCAGCTGTGGTGTGGTAGACGTTCCGTTGATATTCACTCTCTTCCTGCACGCAACGTAATACACCTGTTTTAGGCTTGATGTTGTGATGGCTTCAATAATGTACTTCTTTAATTAATGCATCTTTCTTGCTGAGAGTGGCCAGAACACATTTTCTTTAACAGATCCTCATAAAAGGAAGTGGGGAAGCCAGATAATTGGTCCAGCTGTACCATTCCACTGACCTTAGAAGTGACAATTTTTTAAAAAAAAAATCTTTTTTTAAGCAGCGCCACTGTATTTATTACGTGCTTTCATATACTCCCCATTTGACTTATTTTACAGTTATGAAATAATGATCTGCAAGGAAGTTTTTTTTTTTTAAAAAATGGTTCTCCCCCATATTAGACCTACCGTTCAGAAATATAAGATTTTCAGTGATCGTTGTAGCTACTAAAACTTAAATATGCCTGGCTATATTTGTATGTAATTATATTAAATTTGTACTCGCCTCTTAAGTGCTTGCTTTGTATACTTGAGGGTCATTCAAGTTTGGCTGGATTAAAATAAAAAAAAACTATCTCTACCGGTGACATAGCAGAGTTACGTTGAGGTAATTTATAATTATTCCTTCACCCATACTTTGTCTTCAGGGTACATATTTCATCTTGGAAGATATCCCATTAAATTGTAAGTTAGTGTCGACGCTATATCAGGATGGCATCACTCGGCCCGTATTTGTTCCTTCGTATAGTCGGCGCAGTAGTTTTTGGCCAATGGAATTTTCAATTGGAAGGCTAGGAGCGAGTCACTTGTGTGATAGTATAATGCTGACTGCACCGAGGAGCTTATCGGACTGAACGCCCAAACAAAAGAAATACACTGACCGTGCCACCTCAGGTGCACAGAGTAGGCTCGTCCGCCAGCTCCGCTAGTTTCTCCACGGGCCAAAAACTACTGCGCCAACTATAAGTGTTCTTTGACATTTACCATCCATATGTCATGACTTGTGTGCAGTTCCGTTGACTGTGCATTGCAGTAGCATACGACTAAATTGTTAGTCGTGCAAGCAGTGCCATAGTAAGGAGGAGTTTGTAAATCCCCTATTTCCATATGATAAATATTAAATGTGCAAGGAGAAGAAATTCACAGGACTGAAATGAGGGTGTGAAATTGTCAGATTAGCTGTCATATTGACACATGGAATACGTTGCCTGATTTGAGCACATAAAGTTAATAAATACTTCTCGGGCTACCAGAAGTGTAAGGTGACTTAAAGAAGGAAACACGCACGTTTTGAGAACCATCTTCGTCCTCAGGGTACTGTAGTTGTACAAAGATGGTTCTTGAAACGTCGGTGCTTTCGTCATTAAGCCACCTTACACTGCTGGTAGTCCAAGAAGAATTTATTGTACTTAGTTGTCGTGAAAGTTTCAGATCATAGACGTAAAATTACGTTTCCAAAAAGTTTATTTTCTGTTGGTGTACCACCAACTGGTTGTGCACCCAGTGCATCGTCATGCGCTTCGGGCCGCAATTTTCCATACCATGCTTTGTGGTTGGTTCAGCCTTCTCAAATAAATTATTCAGTTTAAATACTGAAAACCTGTGATCAACAGAGTTTCTCGTAATGACCTCATACCTTTCTGCATTTATTCCTTTGTTTAGGAATATGCACAGTCACCATCGGGGAAAACATCATTATATTTGAATTGTGAGAATTTTTAAAAGTAAATTCCAGCTAAAGTTGAACATTCCTTTCTAAGGTAGAATGAAATTTTAATTCATTTGGTGTGTTCATTTCCAGTTAAAGGACTGAAATTAATCACATTCTGAAAATAAATAAATGTTTTACATTAATTATTTTTATAAGAATTCAGTTCAAGGTCTGATTCACGTACATGCATTTTATGGCATGAAGTAGTATTTATTCAAATCAGTTATAAATAATTGTTTACAGAATGTTATTAATTCATGGTTCTAAATCACAGCTCTGTGTTACTTCTTACATCTTGGTTCACATTAATTTGTAATATCACTCTTGTACTTCGAGATGTTCGTACGAGGTGCTACTCAAAAGTTCAGGGAATTTGCCCATAAAAAATTGCTTATCATAACTCCTAGTTTCCACAGTCACCTTCAAAATAGTCCCCTTGGGCATGGATACAGCGACCCCAGCTTTTTTTCCATGATTCCATGCATCCCTGGAAGTCTTCAAGAGTGAGTGTTTTAAGCACCTCCTGTGATTCTGCCTGGATCTCCTCAAATGTGTCAAAATGACGGCGTTTCAATCGAAATTTCATTTTGGGGAACAGGAAATAGTTGCAGGGGGCGAGGTCATTCCACAACCGTTTCGCTCGTGGAATTCAAATTCCCCCAACTTTTGGGTAGCGCCTCGTATATCAGTAAGTGTGTGAACAAGGTGACCATATACAAGACGTTTTTGTTACCAAAAAAATGAAATTTATTTGTGGTTGTAACTTGATTGCTGTGTGTTCATGTAGGTTCAACAGCATTTACTGGACAAGGTATGGCCCAAACTGCGTGTGTTGGCTAGGTCCTCACCGACGGACAAATATACTTTGGTGAAGGGTATTATAGACAGTAAAGTTAGTGAGAGTCGAGAAGTGGTCGCTGTCACCGGAGATGGGACAAATGATGGACCTGCCTTGAAGAAGGCAGATGTTGGATTTGCTATGGTATGTAACACAAGTGGAATATTAATTGTTTTTATTCTGTTTTAATGATTAATGCTGATTCATCCTTTGTATAACATGTATTGTATTATTATGACTTATTCTACATCCTATTGTCATCTGACTAACTTATGGATTCATGGAATGTAATAAAGATGTATGTATGATGTTCGCTTATGAAGTCATTAATGCGTCGCTGTCATGTGCACTTTCGTGATATGAGTGCTATCATTTTGCAGGGCATTGCGGGCACAGATGTGGCTAAGGAGGCTTCAGACATCATCCTGACGGACGACAATTTTAGCAGTATCGTGAAAGCTGTAATGTGGGGTCGCAACGTCTATGACAGCATAGCCAAATTCCTGCAGTTTCAGCTTACCGTTAATGTCGTAGCTGTAATCGTTGCCTTCATTGGTGCATGTGCTGTACAGGACAGTCCCCTCAAGGTACATAATCTGTTCATGCACATGGCTCTTTTAAGGCCATATAAAATCTGGATTGTCTTGCCTCAGTAAGAACATTTTTTCTCATCTAATAATTATAAATTGGAAACCAAAATGAAATTTTCTGCTGTAAATGGAGTCGGTTTAACACGGAAATGCAAATGCAAAATGAGACTTTAAAAGGAAAAGGTTTGCTTGATTATTTATTCACGTCTTTCATACAGTTTTGTTGTGTATTATCCTTTCTTGAAATTATCTGAGAAGAGGCATTCGTATCACAAATGGAAAGCAGATACATCTGGCCACAAACATAATGTTTGCAGAATATGTTAGAAAAATTCTGGAAGAAATTGAAAGTAAAGAAATAAAATTAAAATTGTTTAAAGTGAAGCTTTTGCGGTGACTGAAGTTGATGAGAGACTCTCAGGTTACAAGCCGCGTCGTGCCGCTCTCGAAACGTTGGCAGAAGATATGGTTTATTCACCATTCAGCCGCATGATGGGACTTGTAACCCTAGAGTCTTTCATCAGAATTAAAACTGTTTACAACATAGGAACATAGAGGGTATATATGTTTAAGATTTTATATGCATTAAATGTAAACATCTTCCTGTTTTTAAAGAAATCTAAAATTTGTGTTTATTTTGCAAATACACATAATAAGGTTTTTTTATTCGTGACACCTGAGTGATGCTCTGATATGAAACGTTTATATTGCCTGCTAACGGTGTCATAGTCTTTCAGTTCCTCCAACAGAGTGTAGTCTGTTTTATCGATAATATAATCATGGATTTGATTGTGCAGGGTTAATGATACAAAACACATAAAATTCATTGTTAAATTGATGATTAATAAAATATGTTGTTATTTTAATACAGTAGAAATAACGTGTTCTTTCTGTTGTTTTAGGCCGTACAGATGTTGTGGGTGAACTTGATTATGGACACATTGGCCTCCCTGGCTCTTGCAACAGAAATGCCCACAAGTGATCTCCTGCTGAGGAAACCCTACGGACGGACAAAACCGCTCATATCGAGGACAATGATGAAAAATATACTGGGACAGGCAATATATCAGCTTACTGTTATCTTTGCCTTGCTCTTTGTAGGTAGGCAATGCTTTTCAACAGTCTGATGTACTCCTTACATTTCTAATTTGAGGACTTTTTGTTCTGCTCAAATTATGAGTATGAAGACGTTAAGAAAACTTACTAACATAGCAATCTCATAAATTGCACCACCCTCAAAAATTAATATATATATTTTATATGTGAGCATGGAAATTTGTTATAATAGCACCTGTGCAATGTTTAGTGCATTGCATTATATTGCACAGTCTTGTGAATGCGTCATCTTTTTCATAAAAACACCTGCGTCATTGCACGAGCAGTTGGCATACCATTTTCATGTGACATGGAATTATGGTTCTGCAGTTGCAGCTAACACCCCAAAAAAAGTTTAGTTGTCGCTTTAGATAAGGAAGGTCTATCAAGTAGTGAATTTGTAGCACTTCGGCTGTAACTGGTCGTCAGTCCCTCAACTTCTTAAAAGGAAACATGAGATGTTAGAAGAAAACTTGGAACAAGACAGAAATGGGTCGGTGCTCCAGATGAGGTCAGGGTTTTGAAACGGTTGTGTCTCTCTGATTATTGAGCGTATATAATTGACATTTAAAAAGTCGGTGGGAAGATTACGCCTGTGTTAACGCAAATGATGGAACATCGTGATGGTCACATTGTGAATTTGGTCATAAGTTGCGTAGGCCACGTAAGTAGCTGTTGTTGACTTCTGTGGTGAGGAGGAAACATCTTGCATGAAGTAGTACAGCCTTTCATAATTATAATATATGAACTCTAATCATTTCGAACCCCAAAGTAAACTGTTATTTACAAGTGCTTTTAATATATATGTTCCAAGTGATATCATTTTGTTTTCGTCACGTTTACTGATGTACATGACGCATGTCCAAATTTCCCTTGAATTATAATTTTTGTGAATTTCTGTATAAATTGTTTTTGTTCGATGTATTTTACTCTTGCTGTAGTGGAACATCATGCACTGATGTAGAAAATTGTTTCTTCTTTGCCAAACACTTTCTGTTACTGCTTAATTCATCTGATGGCAGTCCCTTACGACTGGAATGCTGTCATTGGTCAGTTTCCCTTAAAATAATTGTCTGTGACCTCAGTTTATCCACCCAGATTGTAGCAAGATGTGAGGCATGTCTAAGAGTTAGGGTAGATAGTGATGTTTTAGTGATGCAGTTATCTTTTCCAGGAGACAAAATGCTGGACATTCCTACTGGAAGAGGAGCTGAATATGGTGCCAAACCCAGTCAACATTTCACCATTATATTTAACACATTTGTTATGATGACGTTGTTCAATGAAATCAATGCCAGAAAAATACATGGCCAAAGGAATGTATTTGAAGGCATTTTTACAAACCCCATATTTTATACCATTTGGGTTTGCACATGTTTAGCGCAGGTAAGCATTTCGGAACAACATATTTCATTTTTATTATATTTCCCTGCAAGCATATGCACGTGTATGTGTTGTTGAGGACTTTTGCTTCTTTTAAAAATATTTAAGAGCACTAAATGTTTCTGAAATGTTACACGGCTTTCGGATTGTGTTTACCAAGCTTAAGGACATGGTTCAGTGATTTTGTTAATTGTATTCTAATTTTATTTTGGTTAAGTAGTGTCCATGTTTGGAAAAATATAAACTTAAGAAAATTTTCTGTTCATTTTGGGATGTATTACGTTATTGTGTAGATTCAATACCATGTTGCGTCCTATATCCTGCATAAAAAAATGAAGGACCTCTAATCCGTGTTTGTTCCTATGAAGCAATTTTCTGTGCATGTCATGTTTAAAACTGGCGCTTTTTGGTACAAGTGGTACTACTGTCGATGGTCTTCTTACTGCTTATAAAGGCAACTTGTTTGCTTGCGCTTTTTTAGTCAGTGGATGGCATAAATTGTGGGCATTTATTAATTTTTTGATGATGAAGATGATTCAACCCCAGATTTTATAGGTTTTTCTATTATCATGAAAAATAAATTGTGAATTATAGATAAAGCATACCTAAATGTTTATGTTTATTTATGTATTTTGTCTGTTATTTCCCCTCCATAAAGATCTGAAATCCGAGAAGCCTTAGGTCCGAAGATTTCTGGATAAGGGGTCTGGTATTCTAATGCAACTTGAGAGTTGTATCTTTGTGGAAACTTTCCTCACTTACATAATTTAGAGTTCAGCCCGGTGGATATAAGATCCATGAGCATATTTGTTTTTTTAGTTGTAAGTGTGTCATGTTGTGAGCATCTGTTGCAGTTTGATGTGTGAGTTTCTGTATGTTAATTTTTGTCCATATCTGATCCTATACAAAATACCTAGTGCCTACCGCCTGCTTTATTCCTTGGTACTCTGGGTGTCTGAGATTTGTAATGCCTCATCTCAAGATTGTTTTAATTTTATTTTTATGAATGTTACAGTCATTTTCAATGGATCATTCAACATCTGCATATTTTAAGATGTGAACATTTTATGTTGTATTACTTAACAGTGGTAGAATTTATTTTTGTCTGGATTGTAGCTTTGAGAGACATGCAAGTGTGTACATGTTTTTAAACTGATGTGCTTCACATTCAGGTCCTAATTATTCAGTGGGGTAGGATGGCATTCTCGACAGCAAGTTTAAGTTTGGAACAATGGATGTGGTGTTTGTTCTTTGGGATTGGAACATTATTGTGGGGCCAATTAGTGACGACAGTACCAACAAGGAAGATTCCAAAAATACTTTCGTAAGTATTCATTATTTTGAACATACACTGTTGTTTCTGAATATGCTGTTCCTTCATCCCAGTTCTTTAATATGTGCTGGAAAGACCAACCTTTCTGTTCCTATCCATACTACATAATATTTTTCAAACCAGCTACCAAATTTTTTGTACCTTTATGACTGTCATACAGATTGCTGTCTTCTGGGTTGTTGCGCCGTGTAGTCTGGTAGATGTTTACTGACGTTTCAGAGGTCATGCTGCCTCCATCATCGCCCTGATGATGGAGGCACCAAGGACCTCTGAAACGTCAGTAAACATCCT